AGAGAGAGAGAGAGAGAGAGAGAGAGAGAGAGAGAGAGAGAGAGAGACTCTGATTTTTATCCTGGGCTGACATTCGAATTCTGTTCGTTAACTACGAGGATTTAATTATAAACCATTCAATTATATACCGGAATTTTCCTACACAACTGTAGTGGTGATAGATACAAATACAAATGCAGTGTCTTCTTTTGCTACGTACTTTTCTTCAACAGAATACATTTTCTTCGTCAGATAGGAAGCTTTCTAGTTCCCTTAGAAACAAAGCAGTTAGCTGCTCCAGTAACCAATTGTACAAGTACAGTTGAACCGCTGCAGCACGTTGTGTCGTTTTCATAATAAATCTTTCTCGTCTTAATACCTTCTTCAGTGTATTGTTCATATGGTGGCCACATGGAGTCAGGTCTGTATTATAAGGTGGTTATTCGAGAAGTTTTCAGTGTATTTTAGCGAATTTATCACGAGTTAAAGCTGCTACATGCGTTGTCATCTAGAAGAAGGACACCGCGATTCAATTATCGGCGTCGTTTATTGCGATAAACAGTCTTCGCATCATCCACGAGCGGGAAGTAGCAGTCACTGTTCACTATGTAAGTAGTCAATCAACAATACACCTTTTGAATCTCAAAACACAGTTGTTAGAACTTTCCTGGTTGATAGTCGAGTCTTGGCCTTGATCAGTGCCCCCTCTGTAACTTTCCACCACACAATACTCATTTTATTGTTTTCTGAGGCATGCAGGGTGCCCAAAAAATGTTGCAATTCCTTGAAAGGAGAGGTCTGGGGGATGATTTGAAATAACATTTTCCTTAGCGAAACCCCCGAACCAATCCTTTCAAGGAACTCCAACATTTTTGGGACAACCTGTAGTGATGGACCCATATTTTGTTACAAGTTACGATATGGTCCAAAAAAGCTTCCCTTTCTCCTTCAAAGCGATTCACAATTTTAACTGTACGTGCGCAATTGAGGCAGTTAAATTCTTCTTTCTATGATTGGATCAGAAAGCTTTCTATCTGATGGAGAAAATGTATTTCTGTTGAAGGAACCTACGTAGAAAAATATGGCAATCCATTTGTATTTTTATCTATCCTCAATAAAGCTGTGTAAAAAAAATCCGATTTATATTCGAGTGATCCTCGTACTTGGATTAACGAAGGGTTCGGTAATAATCGAATACAGAAATATTCGACGAGTAGACACAACCCTATCTTTCGTTGGATTTGTTCAATTTGAAAAAGGGTAATTTAAATCGTGTGCTTTTGACGGAAGCGATCGGAACTGTTTTGGATGTATTTCCGAGCGACTGGAGTTTTCAAATTCATTCTAAGAGACGTGTTCATTCGATCTGTAGTTAGTCGGAAAGCGCGGAGCCGTTTAAAAACGTTAAAATCGGAATTACACAACCCTAGGAGAAATGCGTAGGTTATTTTATCATAAGTGTGCGAGATCTCGTTATATAATCGCGGAATTAAAAAGAATTTCTTACCAAGGAACATCGCTCAAATGTAGTTCGCTGATTTCGATAAAGTTTTAAACTTCAATAGAGCAATGAAATATAGTAGTAATCTCTTTATTTCATTATCATCTCGTTATAAAAAGTGTTAGCGCCTTTTGTTCACGCGATACACTCAATTATATTAACTTTATTCTAGTTGGAAATGTGTATCTTAAATTCTCCTTGCTCATTAATTACTTAACAATTGGTCTTCCTATTCCTACTGCACAGTCTTTGTCAACAAATCTTAAATTTCTAATTTGGGGGCATAACTAATTGTCTAATTTGTTTTTTATTTCCTTCCAACATTCCAAGAGGGAAAAAACTCACCTTACATTTGCAAAGGAAACACCTTCCAACTTACATTTCTCGTATACCGGTAAAGATTGAAGAAAATATCGAATAAGGGAAAAGTTTGGCTCTTAACGACCAATACGGTTTAAATAAAAACCTTACCAAGTTTTAAGTGACGTTATTGTAGCCAGTCGAGGCAATTTTTGTTTAGAAATATTTCTTATAAATCATACATACAAGAACATATACATATAAATCACGTACACACATTTTCTCAATTTTCCTGTTTGTTTCGGTGTAATAGGAAATATATAAATTTGTTTTAAGCGTCAGCCCGAAGGTTTCGCGTAATTATACGATAGAGTTTTATAAATGAATTTCCAGAAATGTTATAATTTCCATTGAATTGGAAATTTCCGTACCTAATCGATGCAATTTTTCAGTTTTCTATCTTTTTCCTATAACCATAAGTTCGATCAAAAATCCACTTAAACAGATATTTCACTTACAGTTTTGACGGCAGTTCTTTGCACTTTGATCACGTTTAATAATTGTAATAATTTTCAATGCTCTATCCGTGTGGAAAATTTCATAAAAATCGGCATATTACAATTAGGCAATGTTCTATGCTAGTCACGTCGACGTTCTATCGCATTAATCGTCAATCGTTTCCACACCTTTCCCAATCATCGACTACAGTCAAGTACCTATTTCTTTAGAAATCATATTTGAACACGCGACAAGTTTCTGTTTCATACCAGAGCCATGGAAAATTTCTATCCAAATGAAAACATCGAGTAACGAATAAAACGCAAACTGTTTACTCTTTACCTTATTAAATTAATTTCGTAATGCGATGCAACGTTTTACGAATAATCGACTGGCAAATAGTATACGAGAAACTGAATCCAGTGTCGCCGATAGGACGGCAAGAAAATTATTTTCGTCTCTAAAAGTATGGGGTACGAGTTGGTTGAATCCGCACATGTTTGTCGGTTAGATAGGTGCACGAAATAATTCTAGAGCGATAAATAAATGGAAAAGTATCGTTCCTGTTATACGAGATGCGTTCAGCGTCAATATTGGATCGATCGAGAAATTGTAGCGAGGATAAGAGATCGTCGCGAGTGGCTCTGGATCGACGATCGACTTCGATCGTGAATCACTCGTCGATAGAATCAAAGAAAGAGAATCTTTTGACACTACGCTAGACCATCGACGCGGAAAGGCGTTTGCATCTTTTTTCGAATAATCGAAATAATTCAATTTCTAGATCGTCGAGACAACGGATCGTTATTTCGATTGATCGATCTGCGAATGTCTGGCCACGCGAGTCATCAGGATCTACTTACACCTTGTACATATGTATGATATATCGTTTTAACTTATACACGACTATTGTTACTTTTACAATAAACCATTGTAGATAACATTGACCAGTAAATAAACGAGCGGTAAGTTAATTAAGTTACAACGCAAACGTGTTTTTTCTTTTATCCTACTCGTTTCATCTAATATCCAAGCAGCTGGAACTACCAGTAACCATTCATTCTCTAGTTGTAAGTACTTTCGGGCGATCTGATCGCGATTTGTTCTCGACGCTACCAGTTTCCTTAAATTTTGTTACTACACTTCTTACTGTCGAGAAACTTAAATTTAACGAATTGCCGATTTTTCAGTGACTTTCACCACTTTTGTGTAATATAATAATTTTATTTCACACGTACAATGATAATTTGCTCTTTTTCGTAGTCATGATTATTGTTCAAAGTGTAAACACAGACTGATTGTATTAACTGAGAAAGAGATTCATAACAGCAGATTCTGTTTATGTTCATGTTCCTTGAACCGAATTTGTCACGTACCAAAGCGAGTAACACTTGTCCTTATAGCAAAATCGTACATGTGTTAATACTTTTTTGGCTATGGATCTTTCGTTTTTTTTTTATTTACTTCCTTATAACAAATAACTTAGAACTCTCAGTGAACGTACTATTTATGTGTGTCAACAAATACTTACAAACATAGTTAATATTAATAGATTACTTTAAATTATGAAGATATTCAAAGAAAACTGGATGTGCCAATACTTTTTTGACCCACTGTATACAGTGACTCACGAAAGTATTTGAGCACTTAGTACGAAATACTTTATTAATTATAATAGGTATCTAATATAACATTTACTGAAATATTATTAACACTGTAAGAAGATACAACTCTGCAGATTATATAGGTAAACTTTCAAACAAATCGAAATACGTAAAGAATAGATTCGAATTATTTCTTGTAAAGATAGAGATTGCTGAAGCCACAAAATTATTTGAACAGGTAATTTAAAAATTTTTAATATTTAGTAGGTCCGCCTTTGGCACGAATAATATCCTGTAAGCGATTATGCATACTGTTTACTAACTTTTCTGTATTACTTGGCGAAATAGAATTCTAAACTTCGAATATTTTTTCCTTTAAACTTGCCATGGATGTTATATTAAATTTTTGTAATTCTTTGGCCATTATTGCCCGTAGATGTTCAATCGGGTTAATGTCAGGGCTTTGTGGTGGTGTAACTAATATGTGGGGAGTATTATATACAGGGTGTCCCAGCATCGGTGGTACAACCGAGGTGAGGGGTAATTCTAGATAAAAAAAGAAATCAAAAATAAAGAATAAAATTTTTTCAATTGAGATTTCGTTCTCGAGAAAATCGGTTTTGAATATTTAACTTATATTATATTCAACTTTGAAATATAACAATTTTTGCATTAATAGAGTAAGTTAGTAACTAAATTACATGTGTTATTTTCATTTAAATTCACTCTAAATCCGTAGGCAGAAATGAGTAATACAGCACATCATCTTGATACTAATGATATTAGTACTACATACTTATAAGTGACATATGACTTGTATCGGGATTCATCCATCTAAACCAGAGGTTCCCAACGGGCTCAGTGACTATTGCATGTTCGCACCGGTGGGCGTTGAAGAGATCTAAGGGGGCGCTTTTGGTCGAAGACAAATTTGGAGGGCGCTGAGGACCAACTGCCGCTCCCTGGGCAATACTCGCAAGAACGCGCCAAAAGTTTGATTAATGTGTATTAAAAATCTTCGAACGCATGTTTTAACAAATATCTTCAATGTTCAACAAATGATGTGAATGTCAGTGTAATCAACAATTTAGCAACAAAGAAAAAAAACAGATTGTCAATAATGGAACGCGGCGATTTAAGATTGCTGATGACAAATCTGACACCAAATATCGAAAAATGATTGTTGTTAGACTAAGCTCAGCCTTCTCACTAATAATATTATATTAATTTTTTTAATAATATATATTTGTTTATCAAATTTTAAAGAATACACCAACATCTTAATATCTTTCAATAAAGTAATTTTAATAATAACCGGTCCTTGTTTTTAAATATATGTATAATGTAGTAATATAGTATATTTCACCTAAAAGAGGCGCCGTCGAATGTTGCCACTGTTTGAAAAAAGAAATATATACATGTCGAATTGAGTAACCTCTTCCTTTTCGAAGTCTGTTAAAAAGGGGGCGGTGGGCCAAGAAAGGTTGGGAACCTATGATCTAAACCATAGTTACGTGTACGCGTACTCGCTAAGTATTCAAAACCGATTTTCTCGAGAACGAAACCTCAAATGAACAAATTTTATTCTTTATTTTCGATTTGTTTTTTTATGTAGAATGCACCTTCACCTCGGCTGTACCACCAATGCTGGGACACCCTATATAATCCATTCCTTAACAATTAATAAAGTATTTCGTACTAAGTGTTCAAATACTTTCGTTAGTCACCGTAGGTTCGCTGTTGAGTCGGCGATAAATTGTTTGCTCTTTCTTGAATCGTGCCATCCGATGAAGTTTCTATTCTTAAGGGATAAAACCAGTCTAGAATTTTCAAAAATCGATTTTCTTTTTGTTGCTTAAACGATACTTTAGCGTCATAAAAATAATATGTCATTTGATTTATAGTGAAAAACAAATGTTAAAAGGTTCAATTATCGATTTTATAAAACTTTAAACGCGTTTTTCTCGAAACCACCTTTTTCAAACTGGGAGGACGGATTTCTCAGTGACTATTGCATGGTTCGATTTGAAATGTTTACAGTAGCTTCACAACAATATTCTCTTTGGAAGTACTTAGCCGTTTTTTGATTGAATGTAATCTTTTTTCTTTATAAACAATTTAATGCTCACTTTTAGGGCAAAAAGTTTCATTGCTTGAAAATTGCACCACTTTCACAAAAATTGATTAAGAAGAAAAACCCTACGTACTTCCAAAGCTAATTGTATATAGATTATAAATTTTCTATAGTTTTTGTTCCGTGACTCATAGATGCCGAGAAATCCGTCCTCCCGTGGCGGTGTTTTCAAAAAAGCTGTTTTCGACGACGGGCTTTGTCGCCGCCATTTTGTATGAAAATGACAATAAAAAAAATTGTTTTTTGTTCTTCAATATGTGTTAAATAAACCGTCTGAAAAGAAATTCTATTCCATTTGTCACACCCCCAAAATAAATTGTCAAATTTAGGTCTTATTTTCTGCCTCTAGAGTGGTTTCACCCCTTAAGAAATTGCGCGATGGCGGTCGTTGAAAAAATAATTCTAATGTTATTCGGTGGTTTTAGTTGCGCAGTCCGAACGTCGTAGCTCGAACCAAGATGTGTCCGGGGAGATTGGACGATTAACGAAGGTATAGAATCCATAAGGAATCCTGAGGACCGAGGAGAACCCATAGGAAGGCTGCGGCCTGAGGCCTGAGGCTCTATCTGGCACGCGACCAGCTTGAAAAGGATCCCATAGGCATAGGCATCTTTATCGGAGCAGCTTGCCTCGGGGATCTCTACGCCAATGGGGCATCTGGTGTCGGCTCGTAGCACATGCCATGCATCTGCTCCGTCGCGTCGCGTCGAGGCGAGGTACTTACTTTTGTTGTCTTCGACGTTCATCCGGCGAAAATAAGTCGAGGCCGCTGTTACCAAGGGGATCTATGCGCTTTATTGCCGCCACTGAATCATCCACGACGATCTCTACCGTAGATCTATGTTCCCCGATCGCTACGCGTAATTAGCGATCGGTTAACTTTGTCGGCGAAACGACTACGCGGACGATACCGATCGCGGTTCTATCTTGTATCTACACCGTAGATTCGACAGTTTTCGTTTCGTGACCGAGTGCTCGCCGAATCGAACGAGACTCTTCGAGTCGGAAACATTTTGCCAATGATCGATGAATTTTCAGTTCACGGATGAGTGCAAGGAGATCGCATCTCGCACAGCCTTCATGAATTTTCGATGCTTGGCTTGAGACCGACTCGTTCCGATCCCTGTGGCTAGCTGTCGTCCTCGAACCAATCAAATATCAACCTGCGCAACACCTTTAAAATGTTACAAATGTGTGAATTTCATCAAAGTATGTGAATACTTTAGTACAGTGAAATTTTTAGAAATTGTCACAAGTTAAAGTTTGACCTAATTTTTCACTTGTTAAATTTAAGTAACAAACTTTAATTTGGCATGAAGGAGATTGGAAATTTAACGCTCTTTCGAATGATATATTTAGTTTTAATCTTGCACTGCAAATTTATGGAGTTATGAACGTTAAAGAGTGTAAAGTCGATAATACAAAAAAAAAATTTTTAAGTATGGAGTTTGGACTCTAGTCGTTTAATGAGCTTAATATTAATTACTAGGGAAATTTATTTTCAGTGTAAGAGATTACGGATCGATCGAGTGCCTTGACATTGAAATTTAACGCGTCGTTCACCACGATATTTAGACTAGTTTCAAGTTTCAATTATACTACAAAGGCAAGAAAACCGATCTTAACACGTTGATCGCAACGTCATCCATGTATGACTGGCAGAATTTTTCACTAAGAAATTAAATAAATTAATTCTAAAGATGAGACGTCGAAGAAAATAAATCTGGATAGGTTTGGTCAATTTTAAAGAAGTTCCAAAAATAAGTACTAGTTAAATTCAACAATTATAAGTTGTATATTGAAGTTCCAGTTGTATAGAAACAAAGTGTTAGGTTCATATAAATTTTCACGAGTAGTTTGACAGTCAATGTGTTAATCCTTTGCGCTCGACGACTAGCAACTGCATTTTAGGCACAGCTTGATGGCTGAGGATATTATAATTTAGCATATTGTGTACCTTTGCATCTTGGATAACGAATGTTGTTTCGTATTAGTTTTGTATTTTATATACAGTCAGTGTAATAAGTATTCGTACAGAATCAATTCAAAATAAAACTTTATGTATTTATTTTATTAATAAATTTTAGGGGAAGAAATAATTAACCAACACTTCTACATATTTTTAGAATAGAATTTGCGTAAATTAAAGTTTTAAATTAACTTTTAATGTTAGCCTCTTATTTCTTTTCTTATTAATTTTATTTTTCTTGGTTGCTGTACGAATACTTCTTACACCGATTGTATACT